AGATGAGAAATTAAATGAGAAAAAAAGTTCTGCTCCCAAAACATGCGATGGTAGCCGAAAAACGAGAGAAAATAACCGATTTTTGACAGTTGTTTCGATTATGGAGGGGTTTTCGGGGGGGGGGTCCCCATGATTGGTCGAGGGGGCAAATTTGGATTCTCGTTAAGAATTCCCTATAGATGAGAAATTATATGAGAAAAAGATTTCTGCTCTCAAAACGTGCGCTAGTAGCAGAACAACGAGAGAAAATAACCAATTTCTGACTGTTTTTTTGATGTTGGGGGTTTTCGGGGGGGTTCCCATGATTTGTCGAGGGGGCAAATTTGGATTCTCGTTCAGGACCCTCTGAAGATGAATAATTTCACCCTACTTTATATAATTCTAATCGATTTCATGCATTGTAGGCAATCCTGAACACATATCTTGAGGGGCAATCTCAAAGATTGCGAAAACGTCCGATGTCCATTATTTTTCTTCTTCCGCCGTCACGTAACTTTCACTGAAGCCTCGAAGGAAAGAGAAATATTTTTTTTTGTGTTACTGGAGGTCTGACATTATGTTTTACTCTAGTTTAAAGGTTTTTGGAGGGGTCAAAAATAATGGTTTTTGGGCAGATTTTTGCAATGTATGCGAAAACGTCCGATGTCCAAAGCCCTTTTTTTACAATTACTCAGCACTGAATGGGAGTTGGAATGGGACACAGTTGTGTGCCTTTTCTACAACCCTTTACTGAGAAACACATGCCTTGATTTTCTTCAAAACGCCGATTCTAAAGGCCTCCACAGTTTTTTGCGGTTTACCAAAAGTTGATTTTTTGGACATCGGACGTTTTCGCATACCTCGATTCAATTGAGGACACCGCACCAAGAACAGCCTATAGGCGTATAGGTCGTTATTACGCCCATCTGCTTTTCGGATTTTACGTACCCCGGACTATGCTGTGGTAGCGATAGAATATAGATTGGTAATGGCTCGAGGTCGAAAAACCTTTTTTTTCTGAGTTAAGTCAGGCCTCTGGATCGATGGGTGCAAGAACGACCTGTAAACGGGCCTATAAGGTGCTAGTTACCCCTTTCTATACTCACTATCGATATTCTTTCATTTTGCGTTAATCATGCGTGATTAAATTGATTTATACTTCATATTGCCACCAAAATGACTGTTGGGCGTAATAATGGCCTATAAAACGCTTTTTTAAATTAAATATATTAGAGTGTAAACCCAAAATGTATCGAAAAATCCACCCGGCATCCTTCAATAGAAGGGTTAGGTCACCCAAAAACACCAAAACAGGGTACCTGCATAGAAAAGTCTGCGCAGTACATCAAAAACAAAACTTAAAATGCGTTTTTCTCAAAACGCGGTTTCCAGTTATAGGCTGTTCTTGGTGCGGTGTCCTCAATTGTTTTTGTTAATTTCAGTTCTTAGTTAATAAATGCATTTCATAACACCTTGGTTTTGTGTCTTCACAAAGAAATCCCTACCATTATATCAGTGTGTTAAAGTCTTGACCCTGCAGGGTTGAAGTGCGCAAAAACCTGTAGGTAAAAACTAGTTTCATGACCAGAGGTCCAAAATAGTAAAACCTCCAGGTATAATACATTTTTGCGGTGTAACAATTTTTCTTTCTTTCTTTCTTTCCTTTAACAAATATTATTTAAGACCTTACTTACTACTACAAAAATATGTAATGATTCTATCTGCATGATTTAAATAAACTAAATTGAATTTTTACGAAACATGTATAAAACTAGTTTCGACTATGAGGCATTGTGAAAAACCCAATGAATGTAAGTAATGTTTTCTGATTTTTACCAGTGACTCGTAATTTTGTTGTAGGCACAAAGAAAAAATGATTTTAGGACGTACTTTACCGACTAACCTAGTTTTTAGCGTTTATTAGCATTTTATTTATTTTCGCGCTCAAACTCTAAACATGCATGTGAAATCTGGATTAGTAGAATTTAATTTAGTGGGAGAGGCAAAAATCCATAAATATCATATGATACCGTGACGATCAAGAATGTATAGGGGTCTCTAGGGACCTCACGCCCACCTCCAACACGCTTGTGGTCTCCGTTGTCCCTGTTAAATTAACCATGAGCTGTACTTAAAATAAAAAATAGTAATAAAAAAACAATACATCGAAACGTTTACTTTTCAATCACGCTGAGCATATCAAATAATGTTGAGTTCTGAGTTTTGAACTGGGTCTACTTACAAATAGGGACCGAGAATACATAACACTATTTTAGGTTTCTACCTACACCTGTTTCATTCTATAATTGAATTCGCCATCTTTCCCCCTCCCCCTCAAGTCGATTGAAAGAAGAAAAAAAGAAGTAGACTTTTGAGGAAGAAAACAAAATGCGTAACCTTAAGTGTTATTTAAAAACGAAGCCGGCTTTTCATTTTCGTCCAAATTCTAGAATGAATGAGTGTTTCTCTCTGCAGAACCTTTGAAATTACGGATTACCTACTTACTTACTTACTCATTACTTGGTTTTAGATTTCTTCCAGTACCTACATAATTAGGGCTTACGATCATTCTCCAGCGCAGCTAGTTAATATTCTATGCTCTGAGCTAGAGGTAGGCACTGGAACCAGACTCAATGATGCGAACATTAAAGTCCGGACTCAGCCTCTGGATTTGTCACCCTTCAAAATCCGGATTTTCAGGTTAAACTATAACCAATCAGAAATTCAGACAGACAAACAGTGAGTCAACGTCACATTAGACACATTTACTGGGAGGCGCTATTCCGCGGACCTTGTGAAATGACTGGTGACAGGTTAGGCACATTGTCCGTTAGGCGCATTTTCCAGAGGTACAAAGTTCCCCGCCCCACTGTGGAGGCCTAAAATACGGGAACCATTTAGAAATGGATTGGTATTGTCCCTATATTACTCTCTGTATAAAGAGACCCTACCATACACGAGTTTTAACCTACATCTACTTAGTACATCTCTAGTCGAACAAGTGTAATAATAGATGCAATATGCGACCCTTCACAACTTGTTTGAATTTAGTCTGATGATCGCAAATAATTTATTTTTATCAGGTATGATCCAAAAACCGACACATGGACTACAATAGCAAGCCTTAGTATTGGCAGAGACGCAATTGGTGTGAGTCTACTAGGTGACAGACTGCTAGCAGTTGGAGGATATGATGGGCAGTCGTACCTTCGTCTTGTTGAATCTTACAACTCTCAAACCAATGAATGGCAAGCGGTTCGTATATTTCTTTTTTACCAACCTAATTCTTACTTACTGCATAAAAATTGAGTATTTATTTGAAAAAGACAAGTAAATACAGGTCACGACTTTCATCATAGTAGTGAAGCCTTCAGGGTTGCAGAAAGTGCTCCATCAGGCAAGCGCGGGAGATATGTGAAGGCACCTAAATTGGGGGAAAATGTGGAAGGAGGAGGCATTCGGGTCTTTCTATTTAAAATTTCAGTTTAATGTCTTTGCATCGATAAGCTACTTTTTGTAATGGCAACCATTTAATGTGTTATTCTTTGCGAACGCAATTTTTATAATGTGCTTTTTTATGAAGAAAGAAGTGAAGGGCGTACTTGTATGCAAAGGAAATCGTGACAATGGCCCACTAGATGACATGTTCAAAACATTTAAATTCAAAATTTGTACATTCAAAAATTGTATATGTTCAATAACCTAAATACGAGGGGTATTCGTAATGCAAGTCAATATTTATCATATCTTCTAAACTAAATAAGATAATTTAAATCTGTAAAAAGCGTTTGAATTTTCATACTTTCAGCTTTTTGAAACGTTTCAGTTTTTGAAATTCGGTCCTCCAAGTGCCGAGTGACATAATTTTTCCCACACACGTCTCTCGCCACCGCCTGTCCAAAATTTACGCCCACTCGGGAGGTTGCAGCACAGTATCATGCGACTTCATTCTGCAAATTGTCAAAATGCGATTTTTCGTTCAAAATTGAATAGTTTATTCGTGTTTGAGAAGACTTTAACTTACTTTCCCAAGTAATCCCTATCTCGTTGAACACATTTTACATAGCGAAATACGAGCTTTTTTATTCCATCAGCGTAAAACTGTCAATCTTGTTTTGGCGATCACTTCCATACAGCTTCTTTCAGCTCATCAGCGTCCGCGGAACTTTTTCTGCGAAAATCCTTCTTTAGCTGAGGAAAAAAGTGGTAAATCAATTGGGGCGAGATCCTGGGAATAAGGGGAATGGGGAAAAAGGTCCCATTAAAAGGAGATCAACAACTGGTTGGTCATATGAGCTGTATGCGGCTTAGCATTGTCATGAAGCAGCAACATTTGACGAGACGAAAGACCAGGCTGTTTTCTTTTGATTGCTAATTTAAGCCTTTTCATGACATCACAGTCTCTGTCAGCATCAACAGTTGTGCCTTCTTCTAAGAAATCAATGAGTAACACTCACTGAACACCCCACAAGACGTGCGCAAATTTTGGACACGCGGTGGCGAGAGACTGGTGTTGGAAATTTGATGTTACTCAGAAAACCAAATTCACAAAAACTGAAGCTTTCTAGAAAGCTGAGAGTATGACAATTAAAACCCTTTTTACAGATTTAGATTATCTTCATTAGTTTAGAAGATATGACAAATATTAATATACTTTATAAATAAAGTTGTCTGCCTACAAAAAAGTTTAAAAATGAAAGTCTAAAATCACAGAAAGCCCAACAAAGGTTCAAAGATTGATTTATTCTAGTTAAATTGGTTGGGCAAAATTAGTCCGTTGATCTGTTTTTTCATCCATTCCAATTTCTGGAGCGTTAATGACACTTTCTTCCTCCGCCGCAGAAGTTGACGGCCGGCCGCCATGCGGAATCAAAGCCGCCGACTCGCGACCCTCGGAAAAAGCTGCATGCCACCGATAAATGGTGCTCTTCCCAAGTCGATTTTCTCTATAAGCAACTAACATCTCTTTCACGGTATCAGAGACAGTTAAACCTTGGTAAACACAGTAACGGATGGCATAGCGTTGCTCTTGTCTCAGCTCCGCGGGCGAACTCATTGCACCAAACGAGAACACGTGTCATTAACGCTAGACAAAGTTGGCTTCACTGAGCTGGGAAGTTGAAGAAAACTCTGATATGCAATGAAAGCTCATGCAAAAATGTTAGAACTTGCATCTAGACCAGTGCCAACGTGATCCGCAAAGTTGCGATCTCGGAACAACAGTTCAGACAAGGAAAAAAATACTCAAAAATCCTGTAGGGTTATATTTTACACGGCTCCAAAAAATTGCTGTAACTCAGCGAAATTTTGACCAAAATAGCAAATCTTGGGCTCGTTGGATAGCTAAGGATATGAGCTACAACCTACCACAAACCGCTTTTCAATATCTATTATTTTTTCTGAAATACAGACTTACTCTCAGTTGTTTTGGGACAGCCTATGTAGTTAGGCAGCAGCCACCCGTCTTTTTTTTTTTTTTTTTTTCTTTTACATCATCAAATTTTTAGGGGTAGTTTTTTAGGATTGGGCCGGGGTGGTTACCGCCACCTAGAATTTTTGTTTGTGAGAAGAAATTATTTAATGACTTTCTTGGCATTCTTTTTGTCCTCTGAGAATTTTTGTACTCCTGTTTTGTATCAAATAATGGACATTTTCACGGAAACTATTGTCTATGTTTAGGGAGGTACATTATTCAATGATTATCTTCAGTATGTGTTAAGTCTTTTCCCCAGCAACAAGATTTATTTTAGTTTTATGAGATCTATGTAGTTTTCATACTTACCTGTGTCATGACCAGTTTAATCTTTAAGAGTAAAGGAAAAAAATTATTTTCTCTTGGTTCCGGGATCAATATTCATGGATCTGATGAGTAAATCCTGTTTAACAACAATGTTAGTAAAATTGCTCCCTCCCTAATCCCCTAAATATCAATTTAGTGGTAATGTTGTCAACGACTCTCATTTAATTTCATTCAGTTCACTGATTTTCTGACGTATAGACAGGGTAACAGGTTTTTTAAAAGTTAGGAAATTATGCCCTTCTCACTGTGAAAATACGTGAGGTAGTTTGGCTGCGGAGCATTGAAATTCCTTCTCCCCGTTAAAAATTTGCTTTTTTCAGTTGAAAGAGACCAAACACTAAAAATTGAATCAAGTAAAAACTAAAAATTTTTGTGAAAAGAATTTTTATGAGAGACACCCAATATCAAAACAGGACATTCCAAAATCAGGAAAAAGTTATGACCTGTACGCCTAAAATCCCAGAAAATTCAGAGAATTTTTAATTCCAAGAAGACTTGTTTCTATGCTGGCTCATCTAAGAGAAATTTCATACTAAACCCATCGTGTAGGTATCCCAAATGCAGCAGTAAGCAACTGACTTAACTAAGAATTAATGGGTGGCATCTAGCTATAGGGTCATTCCACGTCAACTGTGCCAGGCTCAGAACCCGACCCCCTCCAATTTGGCTGAAAATTGGTATACGGGGTCTTTACATCATTCTAAGAAACTTATTTGAAGGGTTTTCCCATCCGACGCCTCGTTCGCGAGATATCGACCTCCAAAGATGGGGTGAATTTTAGCGATTTTCAAAAAAGCCCGTTTTAGCAATTCTCATTTTCTCGACTTCCCCTTCTTTGACTCTCCATAGCGAGACTCTGTATCAACCCACCATACTTTGAAAGAGTGTTTTGAAACCAATTTTTCATGTATATTTTGAATATGCCATCGAAATTGAGCTAAAAATTACTTAAATGGCCGTAATTTAGGGTTTTTTAAAATTTACTATTTTTTCGCCATTCAATGTTCAAACTGAATTATCTAAAAAAACTGTCTCTCCGATTTTCGATTTTTTTTTTATGCTTCAAGCTTAAGATATATACTATTGGTTGATATACTTTTTTAAATTGTTATCGGACGGTTAAGGGCCTAAAAAAATTCAAATAGGCCACAAAAGGTCAAATATTGGTAAAAAAAAGACGATTTTTTACATGTTAATCCAAATATTTCTACAAGGAACGCTTTAATTATCGATATTTTCCCCCAGTTTACCCTCTTAGATGTATAAAATCAGCCTATCAACGCTTCCAATACATTCATCGATCGATTAACGGCCTGAGGGAAACCGGAAACCGACTAAAAATCCTTAAAATTTACGCAAAAAGGCGATTTTTCACACCGTAACCGATGCATTCCATGGATTGTAACTGCAATTTCCAATTTTCTCTCTCTATTTCAACCTTAAGGTATATATTTACGAGTAATAAACACTTACTAACGTGCATCGATAGGGCAAGTATCTAAACGGAAATGAACACCGGCCGGAATTGCTCAAAAATGACGGGAAAAGGCGACTTATCGCATAGTCAGGGGAGCATGTGTTCGAAAATTACGTCCCGTTTGCACGTTTGTGATGCAAGTTTACTCTCTTCATTTTGGTCCCTAGAATGAGAAAATCTTTGCAAGACTCTCCGATTTTGATGCCAAGGCCCCAAAAACAAGATGGCGGCCAAAATGGAGGCTGAAATGGAAATGTTGGTAAAACGGCACGAAACGTCAAGAGAGGTGTCGATTCTCATGTTTTTTGGATCGTAGATTCCAAAAAATTAGTCATACACACCCCTCGACCCACGGAAATGCCCAAAATCCAAGATGGCGGCCGATTTTGGCTCTTTAGTGGCGAAAACGTCAAATGCGGAGCAAAGAGTCCTAGGAGTGAACACTCTAGATATCTGTTTTCGAGGTCATAGATTCCAAAAAAATAGGGGAAAAAACATTTCATGCCAAATGGTACTGATTTGGACCGTGCAAAGGCCGAACTCGGCACTCATTTTCCGGGTCAGTTTCTATAATTAGCATTATTGGTCTTTTTAGGACCAGTACCCCTGCAGGGGCCCTGCAGAATGTGGGTGAATTTTTTCTCAGATACGCAGTATTGAACTATTCCGATGTGTTTTGAGCCGCTGAATCTGAAAATTCCGTTTATTTTTCCCGATCACCTCTCTGTTTTCGGGAAACTGACCGTTTGGACCGTGCAAAAGCCGAACTCGTCACTCATTTTGATTAGGGTACCTATTCAGGAACACTCGAACACTTCGTCTCCTCCCAGGATAAACCCAATCAAGCTTCTTCTTCATCAGTCCTACGTCCGTCATTCTATCGACATGACCTCACCTAGGAAGCTGTCTGATCATGACATCGAATACGATATCATTTTCGACTCCCATGATCTGACGCGCTCTTTCATTGCGGACCCG